AGACTAGAACAAATCAATAAGATATCTAGGGAACAAGCGTTATTTGTCATCATCTTGACATCATTTTTCATCACATCTAATGTAATAAAAATAATGACAAATAAATTTATTTGAATAATATATGGATGGAAGAAGAGAAATACTTATTAAAAGAAATATTACTCTTTAAGTAAAATTTAAAAGGAGCAGTATTTTAAATGATTCTCATGCATATTTCTTTCACAACTTGCATACATGTATTATAATGCAAAAAAAAGATCATAGCTAAAAATTTAGGATAATGTATTTCTATTAGCAACAATTAATTTCGTTTCCATATTAATTTGCTTATTTAAACATTATTCCATATTTCTTTTCATGTTACACTAGATTATTACAAATCTTTTCTTAACATGTGAACAACGGATATAAAAACTTGAAGAAACAAATATATGTGTGCATCGTTCTTGCCATATATAAAAACATTTGTCAATTAAATATTCTGTCACAGAAACAAATAATATTTAACAGCATATTGTGACAGAAAATTGTAAATAAAACATTTCTATATAATACTGTAAATAAACAATATTGACTTTTCTAAATGTTCTATGTTTAAGCTAATTTTGTATACATATATTATATTCTTTTGTATTTTACTATATTTTTTGTATACGAATTTATATATGTGAATTGATTTTGTGTGTACAAGTTCAGTGAGTGCACGCGCCTATTTACTTTGTATATATAATTGGATAACAACGGTACATCAGTCAGATGTAAAGAGAGAATCGAATGTTATCCTTCCAGTTAGCTAATAAAGTAGAAGAGAGCGTTCATACTCACTAATTTTTTATCATATTTCACTTAATATCAATATATATTGTTTTAATATGCATAAATATTAATGATGATTAATTTTTCTTAATGTATTATTTATATTCACATAGGAACTGATGCAAATTCTTGAAAAGTTATATGAAAACACATATAGTGTACAGGAAAATGGAGCATATTGTATTCCTATACATTCTTTACAAGTTTGCTCGATGTACAAATCCTCTCGAATATACATTATGTGAATAATGTACCTCTTATTATTTATATAGAATAATTAATAATTATTTATATAATTCATGTGTTCAATTCATACAAACATACTGATAATTGTATATAATCACGGAAAGCAATCTTTACAATAAGTTATTGGCGTAAAATTGATCAGTGTAGAAAGTTGAATTTACTATTATACGTATTTTAAACTAGTATGTTGCTTTATATAGAAATGTTTTTAGGCTTTATGCCAAGTATTTGAGGTGCTTGTGAATTTGCAAACGGCAACTAGTAGAATTTACCGTAACCTGCTTGTATTCAGATGAATTTTTTTGTAAAAATTGAGAAATAATTACATAACAAACGAGTGTTTTATATGTTGCATCTTAAATTGATAATTTTTTAAAATTTTTATTCAATAATGATGATGGTAGTATCGCTGGATCCACAGAGCAGGTAATTCACAGAGCACAAAGAGTGTACTTGGCTATAACAAACATTTTATTCAACTATTATTGTATCAGATATAAACAAACATTTTTTTTATTATCATTGAAAGTACTAAACCGAATGGCCTAAAGTATATGAACAAGAGTGATTGTATATATGTTTGTTGCGTATCTGTCTGTATATGAGTGTACATGTATATGAATGTAGATAAGATTGGTTCTTGTTTAAAATATCTACCACTGGGGGTATCATATCTGTGGATAACCACAAGTAATCATATTTCAAGTGAAAATAAATCAAGCTGCATCTTGCATTTATAGATCCGCCAAAAACATGATAGTGATCATGATAACAAGATCAAAAAAATAGTAAATATATAGCGCATTGTAAATCGTAAAAGTAAGCAATGCGCTATCTTTGATATCGCATGCACACCGGCCACCATATGGACGGAGCATGTATCTTTACGCGACAAATTTTACGTCAGGATTCTAATCTCCCGTGATTCTCTAAGTACATGACAAATTTGGAATAATTATATATTAAAAAAAAACATATATAGCAAAATGAGTTGCTTCAGTCTTAGTGATAGGATTGATGAAGCCATTGCTACAAACCAGAATGATTTTCATACAGAGAAGAATATACTTGGCGATACGAAATATCTGCTGTCGTATTGTTATATTTTGTAGTAGATTGGGACTCGGTTGAGAATTGCTGTTCAGAAATTGCTGAATTTATAAGAGTTGAAGCAGTTCTTCTGAAAAGGTCAAACACGTACTTCCAATTTCTCCTATGCTTTCCAATCCATTTGTCCCATGAAGCGGTATGTTGTTCATTGTTATGCCACGATAATCTGTAATAATCTACTAGTTAAAAAATCACTGTGACACGAAAATGTCTACTATATCAGTATGTTGCATAATTTATTATTCATATAAATATATCAGATATTTATTGTTTTGTTCAATTTTTAAATAAATAGGAGTAAACCAATCGATTTAAAGAATATATGTTGTTACATATTATGTAATATATTTTCTATTACAGATTAACTAGCCTAATATTTCTCAAATAAGATTGCCAAGATTATTTTTTTAATTCGGTAGAAGGAATGGTAGACACGACGGTACGGGAAACGGAA